GAGATTCGAAAAGAAATGTTTATGATTTAAATCATTCCTATTAGAATTATGCTACTTTTATTTTACATATTTTTACATATTTTGGTATAATTACATATTTTTACAAATTTCACTAATTTTTAAATATTTTTAAACATATTTTATAATTTCATCATTCATACGTTTTCTTCTTACAAAAATACAAGAAATTATTTCAAAATTAGATCCAGAAACTTCTATCACTATTGGAAAAGCTCAAAATATTATGCGAAATGAAACATTGAAAAATAATTTAATTTTTATCTCAGTGAATTTTAGTTTTATTGCACATACAGTTACAAAATTAGAAACAAAAAATATGTTCTTAAATGATATATATAAAGTATGCAAATTGTCGAATCAGCAATTGAAAAATTAAAACTCGTAAATGGACCCATATGAGATATTGTAAAAAAGAAAATTCATGCTGTTACAGAAAAAAATCCAGGCTATATTGATTTTAAAACAATGACAATGAGTGCACTCTTCTAAAAATTTGGAATTATCGCCTTCTGATATTTTGCGCTTCAAATATGTTCAAATTACATCGGTTGATGTGGAACGATTATTTAACCGTTTTAAAAATATTTTGAACCCTAATAGGCGACATTTAACAATCGATAATTTAAAAGAAATTATAATTATTCAATGCAATAAATCATTTTGATATTTTAATAACTAAAATTGTATTTTTTTTTAACTACCTTTTTTTCCCACATATTTGGATATTTTTAGCACATATTTTACAAATTATACTTTCATGTATATGTACATATTTCTGTATTTTGATTACATATAAATCCATTCCCTACTAAGTATTGATGGTTCAAAAATCACCCATTAGCTAACATGCATATTATCCATCGACAAAAACCAAATGTTAACGCTACCCATAACAATAAGATTTATATGGCGATTACATATTACAATATTAAAAACTTCGGTTGGACGCCAGAGATGTCAGACTGAGATAAATGCATGGTTGACAAAAAATGGCTGCCGCCGGATCATCGGGGCCTTTTATGCTTGCAGATATTGACTTGAACCCCGCAGAGAAAATTTATAGTTTATAATTTACAAAAGTGTTTTTTCGGACGTCACGCCGACTGTGGATGGGGTCGATGTTATAGGGCCGCGGTGTTCTCGATACTTTAGTCAGTGTGTTTCTTTCGGGGACTATCAATTAGATGCGGCCGTAGAAATGCGATATGTCGACGTTGAATACGTATACGTACTTATTAATATTTATCTGTTATTAAGTCTGACCAAAATCCATAAAACTATTATGTCAACCTGGTGAACTCAAATTCATCACGTTGCAACAATTAAAATATACATTTTATTTTTCCTCATTTTAAAAATAAATATCATACCTATAGGTGGTACTAGGCCCTCTTGGCAAGAGGGGGGGGGGCAGAAAATACTTGAAGTAAAATATTAACACTATTTTTTCTAAATCTTTAGACTAGCAATACTATAAAAAAAATATTTTATTGATAATTTTTTTAACTTATTTCAAATAAGATTATTTTGTAAAATGAATAATACACTTACAAATACCTACATTTATATTATTTTATCTTATGAATTTTAAAATAATAACTTACCACAATTTACCTTTGATGGTTCTCATAGGAGGACCCAGAGTGATACATTTGAGTTTATCCTGTCATGTTTTGGTTATTTTTTCAAAATATAAAGGGAAAGCTATAAACACGTACGTGTAGACCGTGTTATGATTTAAATTCTAAAAATAAAGTTTTCGTTAATTATGTAAAATAACGATTGGTAAAATATACACGTAATTATTAATTCAGACTTATTCTGAACACTTGCAATATTACTTACAAAAAACTAAAATTTAATTAATGTGTATGCACATATATTCTCAATTGTAATTATTCAATTTTTTTATTCACATTAGGGTGTGCCAAGGCACACCCGGCACACCTCGTAGAGCCACCTATGATGGTTCTTGTATGAAAATACTTTAGTTTGTGTTCATAATTTTTATTATAATTATTATTATCCAAAAAACTCAAGAATACTAAATAAAATACACACTTCAAATCAAAGTAAAAAATCATACAAAATGTTTGTGATACAGATAATAATAAAGTAATAATATTGGTTCATGATTTGTCAATGATAAAAATATATTATAATAATATTGAAAATTTTGACGCAAAAAATCTTATCAGCATATTTACATGAATGGCTCCCACGGTTGTAGATAATAATATTATTACTTACAACCATGCAGACTCTAAATAAGCATGTAATATGAGAGTTTACCAACCAATATTTGAAATGTATAAGGAGAGTAAGAACTCGCAGGGGGGGAGCAACCGCCTACCTTGCCCTTCCTGTAGTACCGCCTATGATCGTACCTATATATTTATATTATGTCACTTTAAACGTACAAGTGTAATACATAAATAATATGCCCTATTGTGATATGCATTTCATAATACAATTCAATAATTATTAATAAATAACAACATAATATTCTATAAATCACGCTACGTTTAACTAAATCACTATAGTCATTAGCTAGTCACTATAGTCACTAAATTCATGCATTTGCATGTTAAGTTAAAACATGCTAAGTGAAATACAAATCCGTTTCGTAGCAATAGTAATAGAAATCTAAAATTCAATAGACCATTTTTTTGCATGTTTTAAGTGAATTGGCATATTTAGCATATAGTTGATTTTTTTAGTTATTAACGCACATCGTTTTATGTAAATTCAGCAAAATCGTTTTTCATGGAAGTTAAAAAAAAATATTAGATCAATAAATGCTTGAATTCATTTTTATTTACTTTTCCGAAAATGTTTACAAAATCTTAGTATTTTAACAGTATTTTTATTTTTGTATGGCATTGAGTTCTATAAGTTTAATGCCACTACCACGGAAAAAATGTGATTGTGCACCGCTCCACCTATTGACGTGTGCGTTGCAATCTATTGATTTACTTTCGTTGCAACGTGTATTTATTAAATATAATTTTAATAAAATTTATTCAAAGAAATAAAATATAGTTTTTAAAAATATTAATGGGAAATTCTTATTATTTAAAAAAATGCTTGTACATTATTTTTTTGTACATAGTTTAAGATTTTTAATACATATAAACGCATATTTTGAATTTTTCACTACAAATTTGAATGTATATTTTATCAAATGTTAGTACATTATTGCATGTTTACTTAGCATGAACTTACGAACCCTGGTCATTATCTATAAGCAATTATAAGTCGATCACATTTATGCAATTTAAAACAGAAGATTTATGTAATATGAATGTGATTATTGATAATTAAAACTAACCGCCTAATAGACAAAGATAGTATTAGCTCAAGTGAGCTGCTAATGTGGGGCTCGCGGAGGTCTTGTGTTAGGTTTCTAAAACCATACGTAATATTGTTATTATCATTAATAGGTAATTAAAAATACCCGCGTAACAGATGAAGGCGAGGTTAAATAAAAATTTGTTAAAATTATAACACTATAAAGGTAATATTTAATATATTATATTTTGTATATTGTATCTTGTTATCTATAGTATATTTATTGATAAATTTAAAGTAAAATTAAAAATAGTTTATTTACTATTATAGTAGTAGTTTATACCAATTATACCAATACTACAAATCTAGGTAAAGTTTAGCTTTTATTTTTTTATTACAAAACTACAGCATAATATAAATGTATCAAATATATTTGTATAAAGCAAAAATCCAATACATATAAAAATACATATACATTAGCATAGGTTAGTTTAACAAATATATCAGTATTATAAATAATACTTACTAATCTCAATTCTATTGTTGGTTACCTTAGATTTATTTTCTTTTTTGTTTTTTAACGAATAAAGCAAATGTTATATACAACTACAAATAAAATTTGGTGTTTTAAAGAAAATGCTTGGCATACATTAGGAATTGGGAATTGATGTTATAGTGATTTCTAGTATATTATTGTGTGACTATGAATTAAAAAAATTCTGTATGTGTATAGAAGTTTGCAGACAAAAAAGAATTATAATATTATATCACGATTTAATTGTGAAAGATACTCGACTTAAAATGTCACTCTCATGTAATGTTAAATTAGCACTGATAATTAAATTATACGCGCAGGTAGAAAAAAACTTTTTAAATAATATAATTTAATAAGATCATAGCCATGCGCAAGGGAGTGTGGAGTATGTCTAGGTACCCCCCCTCTAAATACCCTAAAATTTAAGTCTAAGAGTAAGGGCCTATACTATACTATACTATATATGTAACTCGAATTTAATATAATTTATTCTAAAATATTTGATAAAAAATAAATTATGTTTCCAAATAGAATGAATAAAACTAAATTTTCTAAATTTTCGTGCAAAAACTTATTATCTAAACAGCGACAATTCACCACAAAAGTACAAATCGTAAGTGTAAGAATAATATACGAGATTCCAGGAAAACATATTAATTGGGACTAATATACTACAATATTAAATAATGAATTAAAATTTTGTTTACTTAATTATTTATACACAATCAATTATTTAATATGCCTACACGTTTAGTTAAAATAGGACCCAAAAGTATTGTAGGCATCCCATGAAATACAGATTTGCGCATGCCTGCGAATATGATGTTGGACGCCTGCATATTATTATGCATACTATAACACATAATATTACTAAAATATTTGGAATATTACGATTATGATTGTCAGCCACTAGTATAATAATTTATTTCGCTCCACGGAGATAAAATATTATTACGTCACGACAAAACGATAGTTATTGCCCTCTACTACACCAATCACGGTTAAGCATAACTACATTCCTGACTATAGGTATAATACTCGTCTCAAGTTATAACTAAATGCTATTTATAATTGTGTTCAATTAAACATTAATTAAACATAGGTACCTTAATCGATTGGTGCGGGTCAAGATTTCTGTGATAATTAATGATCGGCAAACAAAGACTACCAATATTCTGATCGGCAAACGGTTGGGGAGGGACGCGCATCTTGAATATTTAACGCAGGTAAAACGAAAGCCAGGAAAATTATGCCACAAATTATTTTGACACACCAATTAATAACCGGAATCGAGAATACCCACACGTGCTCTAACATTAAACCCAGTACAGCACTGCCGACGGACTTCAAAAACTTCCTATTTAAACTTCGGCCCGTCCTTAACACTTAACCATTCCGACGTAGACACCATCGACTAAATCACAAGATAAATTCAAACGAAGTCAACAACACGCTAACAACATGAACCGTAACGCAGCTCTGTTCTTCTTGGTCGTCGTCGTCGTGGGTAAGTTATCGAAATTATATAATAAGCACGATAACCGAGGTGAAAATTTTTTTATCATTAACCGTTGCACGCAATCATTTTAAAATCATTTTCCCATATTTTATTTTATTAAAACTTTTAATTCTATCGTTTTAAAGATATTTTTTTTTTCATAATTTATTTTTACAGATACATTTGATTATTTTAATTCAATATATCTATTACGATATTCATCATAATTTCTGTCCAAATTTATAAAAATCTAATACATGTTTAGTTAACTAAACATGTATTAGATTTTTATAATTATCAATCACTTATCGAGCAACATTTATATCAAAATTCTTAATTTTTGTTAACTACATTCATACAACAGATTCAATATCGAAAATAATTAAAATTTAAATATTCAAATTCAATCTATTCCATCGGGTACATTTTAATACATTAATGATTTTCACAATATTTATCACGATATTCTAACGATTTACATTTTATTTTACCAAAAATATTACTTAAATCGTTTTACGGACATTTTTTCCATGTTTCATTTATACGGATACATTTTATGATTTTAATTTTAATAATTCAATATATGGTAAGTTCTACGGTATACATCATCAAATTTATTAAAATTATAACTGTGGAACACTTATAAATCTACGTTTATATCATAAGTCATAGTATTTGTAAACTATTTTCTTCATAAGATTCGATATTGTATGTATTTTTTTTAATAGTATTATTATTATTTTTTTTTTTTTTGTAAACATTCAAATGCAAACATTCCATAGGATATATTTTTAAAACATTTAGGATTTTGGTAATCTATATTACATCAAACTGTGTTTACACTCTCAACTAACGATGTTTATTAATATTGTATCGTTTAATGTGTTTCAGTTTTGCTGGCCATAGCTACTGAAACCGATGCCGCATGCAAATGGCTCGACTGTCATGCACATTCGTCAGGAGACTGGTGCAACATTTTAGGACCCGGATGGAAAGTGAAAGATTGGCGCCGGTGCAACGGATTATTGGGAAAATCTGAAAATTGCTGCAATTAGTGCAACCACTTTTTTTTTATTTGATTTTGAATGTAAAAAATGTTATAAATATTTTTTGAATGAATTAACTTTTGATATGAATAAATGTATGAATATTTTTTGAACGAACAAACTTATAATGCGAATAAATGTATAAATATTACTAACGCGAAATTACCAAATGTATTTTTTCGTTTCCCTCTAATACATAACATTTAAAAATTATTTTTAATTGTAAAATACTCATTATTTACGTTGACATTATAGTTAATAAATAATTGGTTGTAAAGAAAACGCATTAGATTGGTAGATATTTGTTATAAAATCAATGTTTTTATATCAGCATAGTTAGATTTTTGTGCAGTAAATATATTCATTGACATTATTGACAGGTATATTTCGACTAAGGCCCATATTTAGAAGGGGGCATGGGTAGACACATGCCCGGGGGAGTCAAAATATTTTAGCAAAATTTATTTTAAAAATGATGTACCTAATAAAAAAAATAAATAGTATGTTTTATTATGTTATAATTTGTAAATAAAAAAAAGTATTAAACATTTATAAGTTAAAATAGATTTTTTATATTTACTCAAGTGTATTTGATAAAATATTAAAAATACGAAAAAATTTATGAATAAATAATAAATAAAATATTTCGTATTTTACTATTTTTCATGGAAAATTACAGACTTACGATGATTTTTTTTAATATATATTTTATGAGCAACATTAAAATATATAATTAACCTTCTATACATTTCTTCGCTAAGTACTATAGTTTTTGAGTTAAATTCACAAAACTACAAAACTGCTCTCTAAGACAAATGTTTAGCCCTCTTAAGATACGAGAATGGGGTGAGTTATCATGACCAAATTTAGTCCCAATTACTTACTGATTATAATGAACAAATTAGCGGGTACCTGACCAAAGAATATTTAAAAAAAATTTCTTCTTCTATAACTAAGGACCACCTTAGTGTATATACTTTACTATTAATGGTCACGATAAAAGAATACAGACGTAACGGGGTTGAAAGTAACGTGTTTCCCGTGGTTCTGTGCAGACGTCACAGCAGTACAGGAAGGCGTAATCTAGCAGGAGAATCGATTCGCACGGCGATCTTTCGACTGCACTTCCCAACGACGGCAAGTTATTGATAAAATACAATTTATATAGTAACACTTATCAAGTCTTAACGGTTGCTTATAAGTATTTATCATGTCTTCCTGTTACCCAAGTTACCTGTGAACGATCTTTTTTTACTTTAAAACAGGGGCGTCATTTCAATATTTTTTCCAAGTGTGCGAACTTTTAAGCAGGCCAATTCTGACATTTCACCAGGCCATAAAAAAAAAAAATATATATATATATATATAAATGTTGGTAACCTAAGCAAACCTATGTAAATATTTTTTCCTTCTCTTTTATAATTCTAATTGAAATTACTCATTACGACTAATGTAACTTTTAAATAGCTAGCAATTCATAGAATTAAAAGCTCATAAGCGATTAAAGTAAAGAAACTAGCTAAACCCATTTCACTATTATTTGAAAAAAAAGGCAAACGGTATGACAAAAAATACTTTAATTCTTAGATCAACCATCGTTTACGGGTCTTACTTGTATTTAAAATCGTTTGATTACAAGATAGTGAGTCTTTAAATTCCTACACAAATTACATTATAAATTAATATATAGGTAGGTGCATTCATATTATTAAATTAAAACTTACAGTTATTTCCATTTGATTAATTTCGGTTTTCTTAAAAATGCTGACTAAATTATGACAAGAAGAATCGGCTACAAGTAGTCAATTTTTTTTTTTATCCATTTTTAAGATGTTATTGTAGTTATACAAAAAAGTTTCGCACACGAAACGAAGTACAAATACACACGTTACAAGTTACAACAGTTGAGAGACGAAATCGCAGTAATTTGCACAAATTAATTGATTCCACAACGCATCATTGATGAGCGCATGGAGGATTGGAGGCACTTAAGTTCACGATAAATGGTTAATCTAATTAAGATACCGATAAGTATAGAATACCTCAACAACACGCGTAAATCAACTCCACGCATCGCAAACATTTGATAAAAAAACTGAAAAACCAAAAATTCAACAACAAAAAACTTGGAAAAAATATATAGGTACTATTAAATATTTTATTTAATATATAATATATGAAAACATAATGAATATGTTTATTATAACGGCACATTAAAGTATTAATGACGATCCAATTGCGTACAATTTTTAAGTTAGAGGTGCCGTTGCATATCCTGCCTCATTCCAAATGATGGCCTGGTTCAGAGGGAGAGGAGGTTAAGATATAAGACTCGATTGTCTTTTTTTTTTTAATGCATTCATAATACAACTATGATTTATCAACACTTTTATAAACAATAATTTTATGAGTTACAAGCAATTTGAATAGCCTCACCATTAAAGTCTCCTTGTAAAGTTTTTGACTTCAAATCACAATCTCTTAATTTTATTATTATTACTTTGAACATCACTAACCTCTCATTGAAAATTCCTAGGCATTACACTGAGCGAATTACATATTTTATGTCGACATTTTGTAACAAATTTTATTTATATACATATATAACCTACTTTGTATCAACATTATTATAAATACTTACATACGATTCTCATCAGAAGATTTAGTTGATGGTACATGACATTTTTGAAAAAATTGAAAAAAAAATTACATCATTCGCACAATAACTGTTATTGGCTACTAATAATAATGCGTTGTTATGACGTTTTAAATTAAATTGTTCAACTAACAATAGTTCGAATGAAATATTTGTCACATCATCAACGGAGTCGAGAGTGAACACATACAATTTCCTTCTAATATTTCCTGAAGTCATTAATACTTTAAAGTTTTAAGTGTAAGCAATTTTAATTTGTCACTTAACTATTATCCCCATATCCGCTGATCAGTGGTCGATTTGTTGACTTTTAAAATATTGGATTCGCCAGTCATTGGTGATAGTCTATGCAGACATCTGTCGAGCAGATATTTCTACAAGGTAAGGTCTTTTAATCTTTTTCCAACCCGTTTAAGCATACATTATTAAATATTCAATAAATTAATAATTTTTAAGAAAATGTTAGGATGTATTTAAGGGTCAATTTTTAACATTTCAGGAAGATTTTTGGGTCAAATGAAATAAACATAAACAATTATTTTTGTAATTTTTTAAAAATGTACTTAAGTTCTATAAATCTTATTCTTAAATAAATTATTAAGAATCGTCAGATACAATTTTTTCCTATAACTTGTTTCATTCTAGTATCCTATACTCATAAGCGAGTGAATACCTGTATTTAAGGGAATGCCTACTATACTTTTGGACTTTATAATAACAAAACATGTAGGTATATTTAATAAATTATTATATATAGTTAAATAAACATAAACATAATTTTTTAATTAATATTGTGGTTATTAGTACTATTGATATGTTTTCCTTGAATCTAATATATTTCTCTCAGACAGCTATAATTATTTATGATTTGTACTTTTGTAGTCAATTTTAGCTGATGTGTTATCATAATAAGTTTTTGCACGAAAATTTAGTTTTAGTTTTTATTATATGAAACATGATTTAATTGGAATATATACTTAGTATATACTTTATGGGAACTTGGCATGCAGTTTCTCGTCCAGTTCATTGGCGTTCAGATAATTTGAATTCTACTGTACTTGTATTTTGTATCAACATTGGTTAAATATTTCAAGTACCTACTTTGTGTCGATCGCGAAAATAATCGTAACACTCGATTTATAGGAAAGAGATTCAAAAGATAAAATCAACGGGTCAGAACACGAGTTGGACCAGTCGATATCGATGCAAAATAATTTACAACAACGTGAACAGGAGCATGTAGCTACAGCTGATATCGTGGTTATAGTTAAGAACCTGGAAAAATCGAAAAGACAAAACACCGCGTTGGACTTACACATAGAAAACTCTATGGAGCCGACTGTTGACGAAACGGAATTGCGTCCGACTGACGTCGTACAAGAACAATGCGATCATAATCTGTTGGACGAGTCATTCGTCGTAACGACAACGTTGCGCGAAAGTGCACTCGAAACTTACGGCTTGTCCACGGACTTCATGTCCAAACATACAAAAGATGAAGTAATAGAAGAGCTGAAACGTAAGCTCGACGAATTAGAAAAAGCGTATATGGACAAAAAGCGATGGTACCAAAAAGCAATAACCAAGTTAGACACAGAGATGCGTGAGGATGAAAAGTTCCGAAAAAAAATTTACAAGTCCAGTATGGAAGTGAAAAGTAAGATATCCGTTTTATACATTATACGACATAATTACTCCGATTTACGAATACGTATGCATTAAACGGCAATGGTTTACACGTAGTCGCAGAAAACCAAACAGTAGACCCAGTGGAAGATTTTAAGGTTTTGGTTAGAACCGAGGACGAAGATCGCGAATACGTACGGAACGGTTGCGAAGACGTGGAAAAGGAGTCGAAGGATCAGAAAACGTTGCTGGAGTCGGATGAAGCAAATACACGTGAACGTATGAGACAACTGGAGTTAGTAGTAATATTAGCTAAGAGAAATCGCGATTTGACGGTTGCATGTTTATCGAGTCGTTTTCGTATCTTACGCAGCGAGAAGGACAACGACGAATGCGAAAAGGTGGCCGAGCTATCGATTCGTGTTGCCGAACCGAAGAAGGAGCCGGTGGTGAACGGCAAACCGTCAGGGATGGTCGCTAGGAAACTTGCGAACTTCAAATCACGGTTGCCCGTCGCTAAACCCGTGGACGCATTGAAAGCCGGGCTACCGCCGCCACCGTCCGTCGTCACAAAACAGAAAGTCCCGGTGAAAGTTTCCGTAAAAGTTCCCGTGAATGTTCATGCTGTCGAACCGAAGAAGGAGCCGGTGACGAACGGCAAACCGTCAGGGATGGCCGCTAGGAAATTTGCGAACTTCAAATCACGTTTGCCTGTCGCTAAACCCGCGGGCGCATTGAAATCCGAGCTACCGCCGCCACCGTCCGTCG